AGAAGCCGATTTATGTTCTGGGTCTGTTTGAGGAGAGCTCTTTGACAGATTTGTATCTTGATTACGAGATAATTGGTTTCTATGAAGTTGTAGGGTAGAGACGAATTGTGTCATGAACGCCTTTATCGTCACGAATACGTTTCTCCCTGCGCCTACCGAGGTTTTAACTCTGAGGTAACTGGCAACTCCACAGCAAAGACACCCTCTTTATCATATCACTTCACACTTTCTTTCATTAATTGATGCGCAAATCGCTCCTGTTGGTTCCCTGGAAGGGATTGAACCGCGATGAGGTCCTTATAACGTTACTGCGTTTGGGTTCAAAAATCATTCCAACCCTTATGACTTATAGAGAGACAAAAACAATTTACTAGAGTGCTTTTAGAGTGGCAATCAGTTAAGGTCATTTTAAAGCATTTAGCGTTTCTAGTACTGATTTCGCTCCTGGGTAATGTTTGATCGAGAGATCTCGACGTGAAATGAACAACCCCAATTTTTAGGAATCGGTCCCATGATGGAATTGGTAGAACATTTCGCGGAGCACTGGGTGATCGTCGTCCTTGAAACACTGTTTATCGGCTTGGTTAGTTCATTAAAAATAAATACGTAAATACCCGAATCACTCGGTCTGATCGATACTCGCCCAGACCAACGAATGAAGCCTTCCATCCATTCGGGGCTGGTTTATTGGTACGAGGTTCGTCGTCTGGGAGATAAAAGCGTCAAGTACATCGGCTGGCCAGCGCAATTCATTGTATGAGCGCAATCAAACGGCCACTGACTCTTATCGGATGTCGATGGCGATGGCGTATCCCAAAAGGGATTGATAACATCCTTTAGCATTTTTACTTCACGTTGCGATAACAGTAGACGCGAAAAACTATTTCAGCCGTCTGCTTTCGGTTTTCTATGCAACTTTGTCGCCTTTCTGATTCTTATTCGGCACCAAGCATTGCGGAATTCGTTCGGTTATCTGTCAGCATATCGGGCATTGTCTAATGCTGGTGTCCTTCTGATCCTTTTCCTATGGGCAACACCATGGACCTTGGTGTATGGTTTTCCCCTTTCTTCACAGCTCTTGGAGGAAAAAAAGTGAAAATTTTCAGGAAAATGCCTACATCAGCTCAACGGCTCAATCAACTTGCTGGTCAGATGTCCTTATTTTTTATGGAATCGTGTTTTCAATGCAGTTTTGTTGTATCCATCAATAGGTGTGTTCTGCGGGACCTGTCACTCTCAAAATTTACCTACCTCATAGTATATTCCTCTACTAGTAGCTATATAGTAATAGTGCTTAACTATGCGATGCCAGTGACCCTACCACTTCAGATTTGTGGCTGTTTTCTATCCAACTTACTATAGAAAAGCGTTTAATGAACGGACTACAGCAATAATGTTACTGCTAACAACAACTCTTTCACTGATTTACTTTGGTCTTTACTTCGTAGGTAAGTCGTGATGAAACTCACCTTTCAGATGATGAGTTTTCCTAATTTTCAGCCGGCTCAGATGGTTGTAACTTCTATTACGATCAAAAATCAAATGCTTGGACTTTTGGAACCGATTTATGCAGCAAGCGAATGGCCCACTACGTCGATATGTTATCCAACATGGTCCTCTTCGCTATCAGTTGTGTCATTGATGTGATAGTATTCATACGTTTACGATCATCAACCAAGGTGGGCCTTCAGAAAAGCCTTTTTTTCAGAAATCCGGAGCCCTAAATGAACGGAGCTTTTTTGTTGTAGAAGATAATGACAACCTCTGGGGCTTATATGGAGAGGGCAAATAGACTGCGCTCGAGGAGGGAAACTCAGCTCTTCGCCCAGGTAGGTAAAGAATTTCCGGGTTACAGAAGAAAAACAAGTGTAAACAAAAACAACGTCGGGGTAAGGGGTGTAGAACCTGTGCTGAGCAGGTTTTCTCTGTAGATGGGTAAGTTTCCAATTAGTTAACACTTGATATGGCCGTTCTGTGATTTTTTTTTCGTTGCTCTGCAGAAATATTCCATTTTTCAGGCTATTCTCAACACGCTTTTGTATTCGGTTATGCTTCTGTGCTTTCATATTATCGCTCTTTTTACGTCCAACACACTAAGTCACTTTTTGTCTAGAACAATCGTATGGAGTGTCGCCCACACTGTGGACGGGTAAGTGTCTGATAGTACCACATGCAGTTTTTTAGCAGTTTATATGAGGCAGATCTGGGGCCTTGTCATGCCCTTTGATTATAATTTTTTGTAAGTAATCTGACCTGAATGAGGTATACCTGAGTGAAGCCTCCCTGGAACCCCCGGCTTCTGCTTTCATCAAAATCATGACGATGAGTGTTTACTTTTTCAGATTGATCCTCATATACCTCAATCCCGAGATAAAGAAACATCTCGTGAGCATTCGTCACTTCGTCCAGATCATTAAGGATCCTGTCAGCTCCAACAATGAACGAGTAGTTACGGTCTACTCTTCCACGTTCAAATGAGAAGCAGCTTTCAGTTCGATTGGCCAGACATCTGCAATTTTCACTGACATCTTTCCATGACTCCTTTATCGCACAAATGAACATATACTCTAATCATATGGTTAGAGGACGTGGTGCACTGGAAAATCGGTTGAATCCTTTTGCGACCGAGTAGTACCGTCACAGCCGTGGAACTATAGCAAACGCCAAATAATCATGAGTTTAACAGTCCCATCTAAGAGGGATAGTGAGAACCGGATTACCCCCACTGGTGTACTGTCGCAGTGGAGTTTACTGAACCATCAGCTCGATGAGTATTCCATTTATATACAGTTGTTCGAACTCCGCCCGCTAGTTTCTATGACGCCCATCGTAATAGGTACTGTACAAGACCTCTTAGGCAGCGATACTTATGCGACGTAGACGTCATTACGAATGTTACGCACAATAAATGTTTATGATACGATATCATTGTTTATCAACGACATTGTTTATTTAAAAGTCAATGAAGTTCGCTTAAATTTGTTCAATACAATCTAATCACGAGAACATAAGTTTGCATGTCGTGATAGAAGCAGCCGTACAAACTCCGACCAGTGAAGATGTCCCCGTTAGTGGTCGTCTGCCAATCTCGTCCCTGTGCACGACCGCTGATGATTTCCGCGTGAACAAGCCATGTACCCGGCTTCCGGTAGGAAACGATCTGAATCGGAAGAGCAGCTGAGCTACATCGAGGTCTGGTAGTGGTTATAAGAGGATTAAAAAGCACTGAGCCCTTCTTCGGTAACAAAAAGTGCAATATTCAAAGAATCACTTGGGAAACTGAAGCTGCACTGAGTGAATGAAATGGGATTGGTTAGGGTACCTACCTGGTCAAGAATATTTTTGCTGAGCGCTCCCATATCGTGAATATATGAAGCCATTGCACTGTTGATGAATCTTGCCAGATCAGAGTCGCGACATGTTGCCGCTGTTATGGCGGATGTATTGGCCACTCGGTTCGTCTGGAAGAGCATGAAGAGGAAAATTCTTTCGAGAAGATTAAGTGAGATCCAATCAATAGGTGCATGACAAAATGCTTCCGAGAAAAAAAAACAAATTCACATCGGAAATAAACAAAGAACTGTGGAATCATATATTAATGAGAAGTATGAAAACCGTTCACTGCCGAATGCTTTTCCAAATTAGCCACGAACCATCATTTTTATAGGGATTTCTAACCCCATACTTGCTTCCACTTCGGAATCAACGAATGAAGATTACCTGTAAGTCTACGGCATGATAAGCCGACGTCGGTATGTCGTAGAGTGCTGCACATTCAGCTAGAATGATCAGAAACCATACGATAAACATTGTAGTCCGCAGAATGAGGGCATTTTTCATCGAATGTTATGAATCTCGCCTCCCACCCGATAGCTCATGTGCAATATGCACTTCAGCCAAGCATCTCTCCAAAGTTTACATCTGTCGGCGTCATCACAGCTCTAACTGAACGGAGAAGTTGCTGTCATACAACTATTTACAGTTACTAAAGTCACAGATAAGTAGAGTGTAGAGTATTCTGGTCAATAGTCAGAAAATCGTCATACAGTGTACTCAGTTAAAAAGTTTCCCGCACTCAGGGTGAACCCTACTCTAATACAGTCTTCTTCTCCTGGCAGTGGAACTTGCTAGTGATGCTCGAAAACGACCCCGATCTTGAAGAAGAGCTCAGGTGGAAGTAGGGTAAGCTTCCCGGCATGTGAGCCAGGTTTGTGGATTCCGAATCCAAAAAGCTGCGAATTGCCCAAGTCACTGAGCAACATCGCTTGTTTCTGATATTGTCCTTGATAACACAGGCCAGTAGAAGTCGCTATCTTCGAAGAGGCATTTAAGACTTTCGACCCTCCTACACACCATATGAGCCAAGGCATGGCTCATTCTGAAGACATCCGCCTTCGAGTCAGAAGTCAACATTTTCCGGATTGTTTTTGACGGCGTGTTGTCGAGGAAACCAGTTATTTCCGTCTGCCGCAACTAAACTGATGGAAAACCTCTTCCAACTGATTAAGACCAGTCTAAGCCATGCTTTTCCATTACTGACGGTTGGATTACAGTGAATTCAACAGTTCTCAACTCCAAATGTGCACCCACGAAAGGTAGGCGTGCAGTCGCGACGTGGTTCCTATTGTTGAGCCGTAATGAGTGTGTTCGCCTTCAGTATTTTGAGTAAACATTTATTTGAATAATTTCATGCATATTATTATTACTATGATTATTAATAGTATGTACAAGATTAATAGTTATGTTACAGTATAATACAAAGTATATGGTACATGGTTAATGTAAAACAGTTTTACACCGACATAGCAGGACTGCGACCGTTCGAGATGGCAATACGTCTCATGGTCCGTTCGGCTTGACGCATGTCCATTCTAAGGCGATGGTCCTCCTTCATCTCCAACTTGATCTTCTGTTGAGATGGGCAGTGCCTGAATCCAAGGGGTTTGAATGAGGGACACACCAGCTGGTGGGCGCTTCGCCCATCGGTTTTACAGTATCGTAAAGCAGGTAGGGGTGGTAAGTAGGGATGCAAAGGTATTACTGTGAAAAAAACGTACATCAAGGTGTGGTTATCAAAGCCATCAGCTCCACAGAGAGTGCACGGCTTCAGGGCGAACAGTTCGGGGCACGATGTCTTTAAATGCCCACATGACGGCTTGCCCACACTTCTACAATAGGCACAATCCTGAAATACCATTTCTGAAGTCCTTAAAGAGTAGGACCAATTCAAATGGGAGCATATCATCAAACACTGAACAATATTGAGATAATGAAGACCATACCCCTCCAGTGTAGCACCCGCTCCCGGTAGCTTTCTCGCCGCTTTTCGGTAGAACGTTAGGCTTTGGAGTTTGATTCACTGGTTTTGTACTACGGAACGTTCCCATCGGAGGCCAACTCTTCTGGACCTGCAAAAATTTCACATAACTGATTCATACAGAACCTCGCAGAGATGGATTGGAGTAAATTCGAACTCTTCGCGACTTGAACTTCAGCGACGAATTGAACGAAGCAAAGAGAGGTGAGCCTACGGATAACTCCCTCTAGCCTATCTCTATTCAATAGATAAAACACTAAGTGAGGAACAGAGTTTAGAAGAAAGACGCTTCATAATTGCATCAGCTTTCCTCCATTTCGACTTTGAAAGTAGTTCCGCCCAGGTCATAGACACTAGGTGGTTCCAAATAATGACCAGAGATTTGAGAGGCGTAAAATGAGTGGTAAAAGGAACAAGGTAACAAGGAAAAAGAAGAAAAAGCAAAGGTCGGAATGAAGTCAAGTTAAATGAAAAAGGAAAGCGTATTACCTTCAAAACGCGAGGACTACCATTGGAACGACATTGAATAGTTGTTGCCTCAGCTCGTACAGGATTCGGCAATACCTGAAAAATAACTTTTGGTTGGGAAAACTTCTAATCATAATACGTATTTGGCGGTAAGCTGTTCGAGGGTAAGCAGGTTCCACTCACTCGGTTAAGGGGCTTCGCTGGTACCGAACGCAATTGGTCGGTCGGCTGGAACCATAGCGGCTCCTGAAATGGCACAAAGCTATAGTTCTAATAAGTCTTACAGATCAATGACAGCTAAACAACCATTTTCTACAAACTCACCTCTTCCACTGTCATCGTTGATAGCAAGTTATACATAAGTGATGTGTCTGAAAGCAGTATTTCAATTTTCGTAATTCACCTAAAATCAGTCCCGTTTTATGAATTTGATAAACGAGGAGCCGAACTGGCTCAACTTTAGGGCTCTTTAGCCCAATCTCCATTTCTCGAAATCATTCTGGGGGTCTATTTTGAAAGGGCTTGATAGCAACACAATATTGACATCACAACCGAAGGATGGAATGATACTGAAACCCTGTTGTTATCAGGCTTCAAATACATACTGTTTCAGGTGCTTGCTGATTCTAGTAATCCACCCGTGACCCGCCTACTTACCGTGACCACCTTAGGTAAACGATTCTTCGAAAACCTGTGATGCATCAAACGTTATCCGAGTTATGCCTATCCAGGGACAACCAACTGCTTTCGGGACCGGTTTTGCAGAAGTCAAGCAGCAGGAACTCTTTTGGTAACCAAGCTGGAGCAATAGTACTTCCTACTGATACAAAGATCGTGTGAGGACCGTCACTTGTCTGCATTGGGTTGACGTTTCATTCTTATTTCGCAAGAGGCTGGAGGGAGTCTCACGAGGTGTCACGAACAGATTGCTGACTCACACCTCCCCTGCTCCGATTTGCTACATCTCACGTAAACTGTCTCGAGTTCCCAGGTTTCTTATGTAAGAACCTCAAAATGGGACCACTTCTAATGAGCAGGGTTACCAGTTCCCCATCATGTATGTTCTTAGTATCCATCAAGCTGGCTTTAAATAAACTTCAGACATTCATTCACATGGCGTATTTCATTTAAAGTAGACAATGGAAGTAACTGAGATATGGTGGCAAGACAAGATGAGATCCAGAGTACAGTGGGTAATAGCGGTAATAGATTAGGTTAGCACAGATGAATAGATCGAGCACTGTAACGAAAGTTGAAGCGATCTGTTCTGCACCTCAACGTGAAGCTTATTTAGAGAATTTCGAGTTGATCAGTCGAATAAAAAGCATTTGCCAGTCGAACCTAACACCGTAACGAAAAGAGAACCACCCAATGTATCCCTAACATGCAAATGACCCAATCATGGTGTTGATCCCACTTTGCGACTTCTTGCGAAATGCGTACTGTCCCTACTCTTTAGCGAAACATATTTGGCAGCCTGTAGATTCTGTAAACATACACGAACCGAGTGTATCAGTAGGGTATTTGTGAGCTTAACCTTCACCCAGCTCGAGCTAACTGACTTACCGTAACCTAAAAACTGAGAGTTGGGAGATTTGTCTGGTCCAAAATCACATAACCTGTATATTCCTTCGACATCCAGTTTCTCTAACCCAACTCGAGGTAAACGCCATACCAATACTCCAGAAACTCCATTAATACAAAATTCCTATGGGAATATCAACTGCTGCATAAAGACGATTCCCGAAGCAGCACATTCCCTTTATTGTATCCAACACCCCATTATAGATACGTGATCCTTAGGCCCTATAACTTTCTGAAAAGCCAAATAGATCCATCATACCTGTGATGTGATAAAGACCAGGAAATTCGGATGAAGTTGTCATCGTGGAATCCTCGACCGTACTCCAAATTTTGTTCGGGAATGGGGCAATCGACAGCATAGGAATGAAAGTTTTCTGGAAAATAATTTTGTTAACCAAAGGAACACAATAGCAAGGTCTATAGTGAGACAAAAATGTACTGTAAGGGCATCCGTACTGGTGCCAAGGAGTGAGTCATAAGTGAGAGACTGACCTCTCTTGCCACATCCGCGAGCGAGACACGTGGAACCCGCCCACATATCCGGCGGATCTATGGGTTTCCAACCTAATACTTGAGGATATAGCACCATTTATGAGTATTCATCGAGTAAACTGAACAGGAAGTGTAACCTACTACATTGCTCACCACTGAACCACCACTCGACTGACTAAGAATTCCCCTAAAAACCTTTTTGTCTCACCAGCTCCGAAGCATCGAACTGTCTGTAAAACGGCTGGAAGGAAGCCTTCTTTTTAGATAAAATGACCATGGTGGATCAGAAAAGTAAGTCTGATCTAGCCTCATACCTCGTTGTTCACCCAATTACTTAACGGTTGTATAGATACACCTGAAATCCGTCAGCGAAAGAAGTAAAACTTACCGGGGAGGTCTTAACCATCATCAAGGGCATGAGAAAGCTACGGGCACGTCACCAGGCATCAACCTGGTATTCAGTCGTCTGATCCATTCGGTAGACCTTCATCGCATGAAAGAAGTTCACACTGAAGAAATGGAAATATAACTAAGAACGGTTAAGGTTAAACATTACGAATCAACAGGGCAACCCTCTGATGAACCAGCAAGAGGTCGGGGTAGGGACAGATGAAGCAGTTTGATTGAACCATTTGTACTAAAGTTACTGGGGTTTGTAAGAGCCACAGAACCAATTCACAAAAGTAGTCTTTTTTTCGAAAATAACAACTCCTACTCAGTGACCATTCCGCTGTGAGCCATGTTTGATACCCAGTACCTAGTAAGAGAAGGGATTTCTGTGCTCCCTTTGGTTTCAAACCAGCAAGGAAGTGGTGGGTATTCGGTTCTGATAATGGTGCTAGTCATGAAGCCAGGAAGGCTTCTGATTGAAATCCAGCTTTTTAGAAAGGCCACCTAACTGTGAGCATACACGTTCAGCTCCTTTACCACACCTACTCAGGCTGCTGTTCATTCAACAATTCTCAGAGTTAGGCCGATTGGTTTCGGTTGAACCCAGGTGTCTTGTGATAAATACCGTATCCTTGGGAAAAAGCCCGGTTGCTTGTACCGTACAACAACCTATCTAGTAGACTTTGCATCACTATTGCCAACGTGACCCAATGGAGCGCGACGTACGGTTTTTATTGTCTCCTGAAGTCACAAGGTATGCACACAGGTGCAACCGGACACGCCACTGAGGTCATTCGAAAAACTCGGTCTTTTTTTTCTATTCACCAAATTAACAGTGCTTCTTCAGTCACTTGACAGTAAGGAATTTAATTTGTTTACGGAAGTTCCTTTCCATAGAGCAAATTATTCTAAGAGTGTCACGTTTTGAGGAAAAAAAGCGATGTCAGGACCGTTCGGAATGCCATTTCCGGTCTGCTAAACTGTTTCTGTGCTTGCAGAGGCTCAAATAGTAAGCAGAGACATCGTCTATGGGAGGTAAGCCAAGAATTTGGATGTTTATTGATTTATTGATCAAAACGGAAGAATCCAAGTTTGGGAACCCGATGGCCATCCAGTTATTCTATGGGACCGATCCTAATCTGAGGAGTGTTAGGTAGTGTTATCCTGATACCTTTTCCGGACAAGTTAAGATGAGCACCTTCCCTTATCAAAGGTCGGCAAACGGTCCAAGGAAAACAAAAAGAAATCGTCGTTTCCCCTCAATCAATTCCTTCATGCCTTCACTGTCAAATTTCTAACACAACGACTTGAACAGTCATGTGTCAAAATAAAATACCTTAATCAGGTTAGTGAAATCCTTTCAACTCGCATTTCCATTAACAAATAAAACTGGTTCTAGAAGAGTCTGTGTGTTATGGAAATTTGAAAGGGTGGCTGCATGAACGGTAGATGGTTCGCTGGTAGAATTACTGATAATAATGAAAAATCAGTAGTTGCACCCTTTTTTTCGGCGTTGCCCACTGTTTTGGGAGACATCTTCGCACTCAAATTCCATGCCGGATTGTGGTGAGCGGCTAAGCACTGAATTACGAATCCGCCAAAGTCAGTGCCTTATTTCCTCTGGCGAAACTGGTATCAGTTAATCTATCCAGTAGTATCGGTGTGGAATTTTATGCCCTGGCCATGTGGGTGGTGATAACGTAACGATAACGAATATCGATAACAACTATCATCTGATGAATGGAAGTGTACTGGGAAACTTGGATTCTTATGAACGTTCTGAGCCATCTGCTGATTATATACTCCCTGTCTTCACCTACCATATATGGACAACTTTTTGAAATTTGGTTGGAATAGGGGGCTACTGTATAGTAAAACTCTGTTCTCTGTGTGCTTGTTCGTGGCCGAATTCTCCTACGCCTCGAAGATAGGTGTATAGGCCTCGAAGATCTCATCCAACAAGGGAAATATGTGGCTACACGCGGGGCCCCGGCCTACGGTCTAGCTTTATCCAACCAGGTCCCTTCTTTTCATACTATCTTCTCTCCCGTAAGATGAAGTCACTGACTCGTATACTGACAGGATGGAACACCAACATTCCAAAGAAACCATCTTTAAGTGTCTTCACTAGAGTAAGTGTCAATAGTTCTGGATGTCACCACTTTCATTTTGATGGTGAACTTGCGGTCACTCTCATCTCTCTCATGAGTGCATATCCAGTGCTCGAGAACATTACTCTAACAGCTACTATGCGCTGTGGCTACGATTGTTTCTTCTCTCCACGTTCTGATATGGAATCCGGTTACGGGCTAACCAATGCTCTCTTCGAGAATGCTCATATTGTGGTGGGACCTTTAATTTTTAATTTTTTAGGATACTTTTCGAGTGAAAGAAGATCATTTGGCAAGTAAGACTCTTTCCCTTTTGTGAACTAGGTAGTTCCCTTATGATGCACTTGAGAGCTATTTATAGCTTCCAAAGATTAACTTGGAATCATTGTCTCTCTATCGATAAGGACTGTAACGATAACGGACTTCTTCAGGTTAGAAGAAACCATGTGTAAACACCATAAAACAATATCGATGAGAACGCAGAAGCACTCAAACTAAAACACTCTAAATTGTTTATTTACATCTACCTATATCAGAATTTCGCAAATTTTTTTTAATTTTTGAATTTCTGTCTAAATAGCGAAATCAGGAAGTTGGAGCTGTGGATATAAGCTGTATGGTGCATCTGTAGAATGCAGAGAACGTCGATTATTCTATTGACCGTGCATTGAAGAAAGTGTACCCGAAAAGACATTTCAGGAGCTTTTTTTCGTGGCCATGAAGAATTCTGAAAGCGCTCGTTTACTTTGATGCGTTTGAAGAAAGTTTTCAAAAACCTCCATCGTTGTTTCGTTGACGATTATTTCCTTCAACACTGAACACAATTGGAATACATGGCTTATCCCATCCAATAGATGAAAACCTAAGCGGATGGCACCTGTGAGTGAGCGCTTCCAAAATGGCACTGATTACGCCAAGTATCCAATCCATGATTATTCTCAAGTCTGCTAAAGTTTTCCAACTTTTTGTAATATTAGGTTGTGAAGAAAGTTCTTGCGTTTTTTGACGCCCAATTTTCGAATGCTCGCCGCGGTGTTATTCGCCATCAGATTATTTACAAATTTTGTACCATTCTAAAGC